CACACACACACACACACACACACACACACACACACACACATGTACAAACACAGAGACACACTCACACATGCACACAAAGGGACACTCACACACAGACACACACATGCATGCATAAACACACTAACAGAGACACATCTGCACACATACACTAAGTGACATGCACACACACACACACACTCATAAAAACACAATTCCACACATTCACAGTCACACATGCACAAACATGCACATTAACATAAACACACACACACACACAAACATGCATATGCTGAGACACATATGCACAAGCACACACATAACCTCTCTCACACACACACACACACACACATGCACACACACACACACACACATGCACATATACACACACACATGCATACACTGAGACACATATGCGCCCACACAAACACACACACACACACACACACTCTGAGATACAAACACACAAACTTTCTCTCACACACACACACACACACACACACTCATGCACATAAACACATGCACATTAACAAACATGCATACACTGAGTACACATATGCACACATACAAAGAGATACATATGCACAAACAGAGACACACACACTCACACATGCACACACACACACACATAGACAAACTCACACATGCACAGTTCTCCTGTACAGCCCGTCAGTGCTATTGTGTGTGTTTTGGAGTAGAGGATCATGGGAAGGTTCAGCACCTCCCGCTGCTCCGCATGTTAATGAGATCAAGAGTCGAGACGCTTTCAGAGCTAAAAACAGAGCAGATCTGACCTGATTTCAGCACACACACACACACACACACACACACACACACACACACACACACACACACACACACACACACACACCTGATATAACACTTTTTATACACTGGATACATTCATTCATTCATTTTCAGCTTAGTCCATTATTAATCAGGGGTCCCCACAGCAGAATGAACCACCAACTATTCCAGCATATGTTTCACACAGCGCATGCCCTTCCAGCTGCAGCCCAGTACTGGGAAACACCCATACACACTCATTCACACACACACTCATACACTATGGCTAGTGCAGTTGATCAGTTCCCCTATAGCGCCTGTGTTTGGACTGTGGGGGAAACCGGAGCACCAGGAGGCAACTCTCCCCCTCACGGGGAGAACATGCAAACTCCACACAGAAACACCAACCGCATGAGGTGATCGTGCTACCCACAGTCTGTTTATTACTCATTCATTCATTTTCTTGTCGGCTTAGTCCCTTTGAACCGCCAACTTATCCAGCAAGTTTTTACGGAGCGGATGCCCTTCCAGCCGCAACCCATCTCTGGGAAACATCCACACACACACACACTCATACACTACGGACAATTAAGCCTACCCAATTCACCTGTACCGCATGTGTTTGGACTGTGGGGGAAACCGGAGCACCCGGAGTAAACCCACGCGAACGCAGGGAGAACATGCAAACTCCACACAGAAACACCAACTGAGCCGAGGCTCGAACCAGCAACCCAGTGACCTTCTTGCTGTGAGGTGACAGCACTACCTACTGCGCCACTGCTTCGCCCCAGTCTGTTTATTACTCAAAATAAAATAAGCTTTTTAAGATAAATATTGAATTAAAAATATTATAGATGTATTTTACAATCATTTTACAATATATTTTTCATAATTGTGCAATATGTTTTACTTTAGTTCTTATAGAAATGATGAAATTAATTTCGTTTATTAATCAATTGATAATGAAATATTAATCACAGTTAAAGTGCAGTAAGTGTGTGCTCGTCTATATGATCAGTATTATGTGTGTGTGTTCCAGGCCCCATCAGCAGTATTCTGGTCAACACATACGGCTGTCGGCCCATCATGATCCTGGGTGGTTTCCTGTGCGCCATCGGGATGATCAGCGCCTCCTTCTGCAACAATGTGTTAGAGCTCTACATCTGCATCGGCGTCATCGGCGGTCAGGCTAACACCCTCACGCTCAATCCTTCATTCCCTTAGGGTCATGAATGTGTCCAAACACAGATGTATAGCTGTGTGTGCTGGTTGTCAGTTCTCATTCAGCATGTTGACAGTGCAGTGTGCCAAATTAGCATGCTAACCAACTGACATGCAACACTAGCTTTACAGACTATATCGTTTTTTTTACTGACAGTTCAAACGCTATATTATAAAGAACAACGGCTAATTAGCATGCTATGTTCATCTTGCTGTTATTCTGTTTACAGCTTCTGATTAGCATGCTAAGTATGATAACTGATTAGCATCCTAACCAACTTGCATGCCACACAAGGATGACCAATTACCATGCAATGCTAATTTTCATGTAACATTCATGTAGTGTTTACAAATTCTTGATTAGCGTGCTAACCAATTAGCACATTACATATATTAGCCATTTATGTACTATGTTTACAGCCTCTGATTAGCATGTTAACTAATACGACTGCAATAGTAACCAAGTAGCATGCTATGCTAACGAATTAGCATGCTATGCTAACTTATATATATCATTTCTCTAGATTGTTTACAGCCCTTCAATAGTATTGTTACCAATTAGTATGCTATGCTGCCTCCCATGTAGCATTCTGTGTACTGCCTTTGATTAGCATACTAGCCGATTAGCCTGATATTCATGTTCAGTGTTCACCCTGTGTGCACGC